CAATACTTATATAATCATCCGACTCATAGGACGTACATTGGACCTTCCATTTCATAAGAATTCTATAAATGGCATTTTATCAAACATATGGTGGGCTACTTGTTCATGTAAATAAAATCATGTGTTTCAAGAGTACTAAGTCCAACCAATTTCAAAATCCATATAAAACAGCCCACCAACAACATACATATATATATACATATATAACAACCTTCATAATTTGATCATGGAGGCATGAAAACCATAAACATCATATAATCATTCCATTTCATGATAATATACAAAAATAGACCATAATAGGATGTGTAGTAATAATTCCATAATTCAAGAGTTCATAAATGATCATAAGGACCCATAAACTTGAAGTAAAATAGAGGATAAATGGTTGGACTTGTGGAAAGGAAGGTTTCCACAATCAACCCACATACCTCAACTTTGGAGAATTCTTGATGAAGATTGGAATGGAGAATTGCTTGAGATTGAATCTTGAATCCGGAATTAAAGCTTGGGATCCTTGAATTTGGTTGATGATCTTGGTGGAATTTTTGGAGAGGGTTTAGAGAGAGTTTTTGGATGTTTTGAAGTTAAATGACTAAGTATGGATATGTCCCCTTTTTATAAAAACGTCCCAACACTTAGAAAAAAAATTGAGGCGGGTGAACAGTGTTTTCGGCTACTGGAATTTGCATTTTCTGCCGGACAGGTTTTACGAAAATGGTCATAACTCCTTCATCCTAACTCGGAATGAGGTGAAACAAATTGAGTTGGAAAGCTAACTCACAGAGCTTTAATTTTGATAGTTTGAGCTCCTTCCAGTTCCTTGTGTGCTGAGAGATATGCCCCTTTAAAGTTGACCCTCAAAATCGCATTTTTTGCGATTTTCAAATTTTGATACGGTTGTTCTAAAATTCGGGTTAGACTCATTTCCCACTCAATTTGACCCCCTGAATAAGAATATGAAGTCGAATTTCTGAAATGATGCACGGATTTTGAGATATATGGAAATTACAATTTTAGGTGTTTTCGAAGCACATTTTCGGGCATTTTTGGGGTCGTTTCATAAAGACTACCCATTTATTAGAGGATTATGCTAAGTTATAGATTCAAGAGGTAGTAAGACTTCATGGAGTCACTGTTTCGATTATATCAGATTGAGGTGCACAATTTACTGCTCAGTTTTGGAAATCTTTTCAGAAAGGCTTGGATTCAAAGGTGAACTTAAGTACTAGTTTTCATCCTCAGACAGATGGTCAAGAAGAGCGCACTATTCAGACTTTAGAAGATATGTTGAGGGCCTGTGTGATTGATTTCAAGGGTAATTGGTATGATCACCTACCTCTCATTGAGTTTGCTTATAACAATAGTTACCACTCTAGCATCGAGATGGCTCCTTATGAAGCTCTTTATAGGAGAAGATGCATATCTCCTATTGGATGGTTCAAAGTTAGTGAAGTTGGGTTGATAGGACCAGACTTAGTTCATCTATGGAGAAAGCGAAAGTTATCCAAGAAAGGTTGAAAACAGCGCAGAGTCGTCAGAAATCCTACACTGATGTTAGGAGAAGAGACTTAGAGTTTGAAGTAGATGATTGGGTATACTTGAAGGTTTCACCCATGACGGGTGTTATGAGATTTGGAAGGAAGGGGAAACTTAGTCCCTCGTATATTGGTCCTAATAGAATATCCAAAAGGATTGGTAATGTAGCTTATGAGTTGGAGCAACCACAAGAGTTAATAGCAGTTCATCTAGTATTCCACATTTCAATGTTGAAAAAGTGTACGGGCGATCCTTCACTGATTATACCAACTGAAGATATTAGTATCAATGATAGCTTGTCTTACGAGGAAATTCATGTTTAGATGCTAGATCGTCAGGTTCGCAAGTTGAGAACCAAGGAAGTAGCATCAATCAAAGTTCTATGGAGAAATCAATTTGTTGAGGAAGCTACTTGGTAAGCTGAGGAGAATATGCAGAAGAGATATCCACATTTCTGTGAGCCCAGAGAAATTCCAGATCAAGGTACTAATTCCCTTCTTACTACTCTTTAATTGATATATTGAATGTCTTAGATTTGCTTGTTGGGTGTTTGAGCTAAATGTTAGATGTTATGCCTTTAACCCACTAAGAGTAATCTCATTCGAGGACGAATGTTCCCAAGGGGGAGATATTATAACACCTCGCTATTTGAAAGACTAGATTAGAAACAACATTTTGGAAAGTATGAAAATCTGAATTTGGCTAAGTTATGTTAAGTATGAGTTTTGGGTCAACTTCAAACGACCATAACTCCTAGCACATGATGATTTATGTGGTCTACAAGACACAGTTGGAAAGAGCATTGGATTATCTTTCCAACACCACTGACTTTGCTCATTTTCGAGTTCGTATTTTGGGGATATGCCAATTTGTTATCGGACTGTCTAGATAAGGAAAGTCAAAATCGGATTTTAAAAGGGTATTTTGGTCTTTTCCATACCCAATTGGTTTAATTCATTTTTAATGAATTAATTAGGGTCTAAACTGAATTGGTTTAGTTCACACAATTGAAAAATCACACTAGGGTTTTAGAGAGAAGAACTTAAGAGGAGAAGAGAAGAGGAAAGTCAAGATTCGTCGTTTTCTTAAGGAATTCGTTGTGTATTTCACCAAGGATTCAATCCAACGAGGTATTTGAATTCACATAGCATTGGGTTCGTTCACCCACACGCCAAACATGTTTAATTCAGTGAAATTTTGTCCTAAAAGATTGAGAATTTAATGTTCTTGAGTCGTGTTCTTGAATTGCTTTCGCTCTTGAATTTAGGATGAGATTAAGGAGTTCTTGAGAGTTTAATGTCAATTATTAGAGTTTCTTTGAGTTAGATTCTTGTGTATATGTTTTGGGTACCTGAATCTAAAGATATATTGAGAGAAAACAAATAGAAATTAATCGAATTAAGGTCAGAAAATGAGAGGAAAAATTCGTCAGATTTGCCTGGGGGGATGCTGGCACGACGTTCCCCCATAGCACCATGAAGGCTGGGGCGGCGCGCCAGCAGTGCGCTATAAATGGCCCTCTGAAGTTTGAGGCTGGTGTGGCGCGCCATAGGTGCGCCAAGGTCGTCCACCCCAACCCCTTTTTCATCGTTTAGCCCGTTTTAGTCCTTCTAAAGTGTGCTAACATTTCCTATCGATTCTAATTACTCTAAATGACTTCTAAACATCTAGAAATCATCCAGAAACATGAATCCTAACCTTGAATCCATAAATTCAAATTCAAGGAAAGTTAAGAGCCAAGTTAAGAGAGTTCATAGAGTCTCTTCAAGAAGTCTTTTGCAAATGCTTTAAACTTGTTTTAAAACTTGAGATTTGAGTTGAGTAAAGAGTATCAAATAAAATTCATTTCTTCAAAAGAGTATATGGGGACTATGTATTCCTAAAGAGTAAATGTTTTCCCATTTAAACAAGAAAGGAAACACCTATTTCCAAAAGAACCTTTGAGCTAGTTTTCAGTAAAAAGTATATGCTTTCACAATTAAGCAAAAGAGGAAACACTAATTTCCTAGAGAGCCTTTGGGATAGTTTTTGAGTAATTATCTCAAACCACCGAAGATATGTTTTTAAACGTATGAGCTAGTTGTATTTTGGGAGTAGTATTGAGCGCCGATATGGGGGAGAGTTCAGACAACTCCTAGCCCCCATAAACCATGTAGCCATTATGGGTAGAAAAGGGTCATTCTTTTAAGATGATTCCTTACTGCTTTTTAGCGTAGACTAGTGGATCCACTTAGTAGTCAGGTTCTATAACCTCAGCAAGGTATAGGACAGACCTGGTAGCGTGAGGCAAAATGTCGTATCATCATATAGCTCTTAGGTGATGGTTGTCGATTAGAGAAACTCCCACTGCTATATTTTGTATTCTTATATACACAGAGATTACTTGTATTTTCATATACAAATAGAGTTTATGTTGTTTCTTTGCATACAAACAGAGTTTATATTGTATCTTTGCATACTAACAGAGTTACTACTGTATTTTTCAATACACAGAGTTGTTATCAATGTTTTAAAAGCTTTTCTTTATATTGCATTCATATTATTGCTTTATATTGAAATGAGTTCAGTTCAGTTCAGTTGAGCCAGGTATGTTCTTTCATATTCCTTTCAAGCTTATGTCTTGTTTAGAATACCCCTCGCATGCTAGTACATTCAATGTATTGATACCAGTTGGCCTGCATCTTTTATGATGCAGATATAGGTAACCATGATCAGCATTTAGTGCATCATTGATTCTAGTTGAGCTCCAAAGTTGTTGGTGAGCCTCCTTGCTTCCGAAGGACCCCTTTTTCATTACTTTATCATTTTAGTTCATTAGGATGTCGAGGGTCTTGTCCCGACGTCCATCTCAGTTGTTAGAGGCTTCATAGACAGTTAGTTGATATTTTGTTCTTAAGTCTTTCTATTCATGTTTTGATGTTTGAGACTTGAGTGTCATTTGGGCTAGTGAATGTTCTTTATACATTCTAAGTATTTATTGAGATTTCAGTTTACTTTTTAAAGTAGTTTTATTACGAGTAAGTCTTCTGCTAAGAGTTAAGCCAGGCCAGAGGCTTGCTTGGGACCAATTATAGTTCTCGAGTGTCAGTCTCACCCAGGGTGTAGGCTTAGGGCGTGACATTATTTTAGAGCAAAAATCATCCCTTGAACTTAAAAAGGTAAAGTTTGATTTCTCTAGTACAAATATTTGACTTACATAATTAGAGATAAGCATTTTATTATGAACTATTAGTGCAATAAAGCTGAATTTGGAGGGAAATTTAGAAAATTACTTCTTAATTAATTTATATATTTACTCTATTAAATCACGTAACTATAATAAATTTAAGTTAATTTGATATAAACTGAGAGTAAATTAATATTCAATTTAATGTTCTATGAAATCACGTAATCATAATAAATTGAATTAATTTGACATAAAATGATGGAGAATAAATATTAAATTTATATTGCAATATTAAATCCAACTCAAATTACATACTAAAATTTCAAACGGAGTTTCCTAGAAAAAAACATTTTCATTTTCCGTTGCCTTTTTGCAAATTCTTGATTTCATCATTCAAAATTTACACAGAGAGCAAAAAGGGGGGAAATCGCAATCATGGATGGCGGAATCGCACGTAGTCGTCTTTCTGTGGAGCACAGATCATGTGGCGGATGGATCACCCACATGTATTCTATGCCCTTCTAATTTCTTTTTTCTACTGAGTTCTTTTTGTGTAACTTTTTTTTTTACTCTATTGATGCACAATAATGGGTTTTTAGGATCTGTGGATTTGATGGCTCAGTTAACTTAAGGGTCTCTTATGTTTTTCCCTTAGGGATTTGTGGCTAGGCCTGAAACTGGTCCAGATGGGTCTGTTAATTTGATGGTGTGGCATTGTTCTATCCCTGGAAAACCTGCGGTGAGTAAACTTTCTTCCTTTCTTCACTGCCCATTTCAAGTTTTCTCCTTTTGTAGTTTTTGTATGGATGGTTTATTACAAATGAAAAATGAGAAAGTTAGAAGTCTTTTGATACTCTTTCTGAAAAATGGTTTAGATACATACAAATTAATCATGACAAATAATAAAAGAGTGTCCACATGTGTGAGCTCGCTCGCATTTCCTGTATCAAATCTAAATAAAGGATGAGGGTTGAATTAAACTTGTAGACATTGTGAAATGTGTCAATTCTTGATGGATTCTCATAATTGTAAAAGAGTGTAAACATGTATATATTCAGTGGTTTGGTGTATATTCCTTGTCTGTGATTGAAAATTTCGGGCTAGAATTGGTCTACTTCTTTTAGCAGGTTATTGTTTATCATTTTTTCCCTTCTTTGTTGTGGAAAACCAGTAATTTTGTGCTATTATTACCCATACTTCATAGTTTTATGAGGAAGTTTATCTATTCTATGTTATGGGAACTATGAAGAAAAGATAGTACAATCTAATTAATAGTTAGACACATCAATTTTGATATTCTCGCAACAGTTATAGAAAGTATTCTACTATATTGGTTATGACTTGCATAGTTTTCTTATTATTTCTAGGATTTTTATACTCCTTTAGTTTTATCTTTTGATTTAGTTTGCCGAATATTTCATTGTAGTAGAGAATTAGTTAAAGTGAATAGAATTAGGTAATTGGAGTAGGAAGTAAATTTAACGAGATCTAAGTTATGTCTAATTGGATGATAATAGTTTTAGCCTACATGTTTCCTTTCATGATTTTGGGTTAAGTTTAATTCGTCTAAATGTGGAAAATATGGAACTCCGTTTTATTTTTTAAATAGTTATAGCTTGACAATCAATATAACACACATTACCTTCCTTATCAAAAGAAAAGGTGTTCAGCTTAATATGTAAATGTATAGGGATCTGAGTCAGAAGCATATATTGATTAATAGGGCTCTGCTTTGTAGCTTAGAGTATCCTCATGTATGCTCGGCTTGTATTGACCTTGTATTTTGTTATCTCCATCTACAAATTTCTTGATAAAAGAAAAACCAAAGGTTTCAACTTGGTCATTGCAACTGCTTAGAGAAACTTCCAATCGCCTTCTTAGTTCCTAATCCACAATTCAGGAAAATCCTTTTTTCTATTTCTATGGTTAAAGATTTTCCATGGAGAAAAATGGGAGTAGATATTGTATTGCAAAGGAAGGATACTTGTGGAAGAGGGGCTTTAGTTATGAAGTGTCCTATTTAATATATGAACCTTAATGGACCTTTTGAGAGTTTATGAAAGAAAGAGAAATTACACTACACGTTTCAAATAACAATATACACAATGTTACCCCATAAATAGGGTTTAGATATGGTAGAGTAGAATGCATGCAGACTTTATCTCTACCTTATGTGAGGTAGAAATGTTGTTTTCGATAGATGAGACTCAATTAATCATGTTTTGTAGCCAAGTCAGGTGTTCGTCTGAAAGTCACTCCTAAACACAAATCAACTCAATTTAATGGAAGATCAAGCTTTTTGTATTCTTTGGTCTATCGACCTTATTGTCTCCCGAGTCAAAGAATAGACAATATATTTATCTCTATGGTAATCAAGCATGAAATACTAAAACAAGAATACAAAAATAATTTAAGTGATAGCCAATATTAATTCAAAACAATAGGTGTTCAACAATTACCCATAGTGGCAGCCCCAAAACAGGGCTCTTTAGCTACTAATATCTAAGAAAAGAAGAAGAAAAGAACCCTAAAAAGTATGGACAACTTCTTTCTCAAAAAAGTATGGACAACTTTATACCTGATCCCTTATATTTTTTTCTCTCCCATTATTATTTCTCTGAACTATTTATAGATGTAGAAAACCCTAAATAAAATAACTGATTTCAAATCAAATTAGGAACCTAAAACCAAAACAGAGTTGAATTTCTTTTTATTTTCCGCGTGAAGCTGTGCATACCAAATTTTGTGCCTATCTTCGAATTCATACACGTGGCAGCAGAATTGCAATTGTAATTCCAATTTAACTTATGTATTATTTTATAACTTTTAATCCATTAAGTTGCTTGCTTGATTTCCTTCTTCAACCTTCTCTCTTTAATTCGGCTTAGCTCCAAGTTTCTTCAACTTTACACCAATTTACTCCTATGTATAAATTACATTATTTAGCACAATCCATAAAATTCATACTCAAAAAGGATAAATACAAATACAACTGTGAGACAAATAATGATTAAAAATATATATTTTTGGCCTCACATCAACACTCCACACTTAAACTTTTGCTCGTCTTCGATCAAACATTAAAGCTCATCTCAAAAAATCATACTAGGAATGTCATCACTTTAGTAGATACAAACAATTAGACCATATACGAATTTCAAAACATCAAGTTCAATTCCTGCTCATTATGCAACACATCCAAATAAACAACAAGCCTCTAACCTCCTAACCTCAAGGAAGGACTTTGAACTCATAAAATTTAAGCTTGCTCACCTACTCTCATCAAAGAAAGTTAATAGAATCACATATCCATCATGAAACAAGTGCCCTCACAAGAAAAAATAGTCCACACACTCAATTCAAAAGATCGAATATAAATTAAGGACTTAGCATCAAAGAACAACTCACACTCAGAAATACAATTCACATATATGGACAAAGAACCATAGGCTTGGCCATTATGTAACTAATTAAGGATGCTTGAATAGAATCAAAACTTTAACGGGTAGAAAAACTATATAATAGTGACTTACACTTCCTTAAGTTAGACTGCATCACCCATTATTTTCTTCTCTTTCTTTTTAGCCCTCTCTTCAACAATTATTTCACAAGTAATTCTCATCATCTCAAGAATGCTTCAATCATTTTTTCTCTTATTTTTTCAAAGGATTTTTTTATGTCACATTCTTTTGTTCTCTTTCTTTTTTTTTCGTATCACATTCTTTCAAAGAGAGATTTTTAAGCACTTTGTAGCTATCATTGATTACCTTTTCACTCAACCATCCCTTTTTCTCAAAATTGATAATTAGAATAAGTCTATGCTACAATCCTCAAGGAAGCAAGGTGCAAAAACTAGGGATTCAACTTAGGGATTCAAAAATAGTAAAGGGCAAAATATGGCTACCAACAAAAGGTTACAGGCTCAAAAGGGCTAACTAGTGATATAATATCTGAAAAGGCTAAAATTTACAAGACAAATCAAAGAAAGCCTATTATCATCTCCTAAACAAAGCAACACTTTTTATTTCGCTTCAATAACATGCAGTGCATGTTTTAGACTAAGATGCGAAACATGGAATAAGCAAATTCTCACCACACATAGAACAAGTATCAATCAAGATGGATCAATTTCACTTTTAAGAGAGATAGAATCATAACAAACTACAAAATAAAATAAGCTATATACAAAGTCACAACCATGAGCCTCGGTATAACGGAGTCTGCAATTTCCTTATCAATCAAGCATTCACAAGAAATCACTACTCAAAAATCAGGCCTAAATAGCAAGTATCACACCACTCAAAATGATCTTTTCTTTTCTCTCAAAAAAAATTATTCCTAAAAAAATTAAAGACACTTGGTTCAGAGGGACTATCATCGGGATAAGAATCGAAAGCAAAAGTCAAGGAACCCATCCTAAATATAGAAAAGACACAATAAAACAGTACAAACTAGGAATTCATTCCTCCACCCCCACACTTAAAAAAGGTGATATGCCCCCCAAAAGTCAAATAAAATTTAAAACAAGGGTTAGGAAAACTCCATGAGGCCTTAAGGCCTAGCTAGTAGCATGTTCTCTTAATTTTCATGAAAGGTCGTACGCACCCCACACTTAAACTCAAACGTGTTCCTTCGCTTCAAATTTTTGGGTACTCAGACTTCCCCTAATCTACAAAAACAAGACAAAAAAACAAAAAAAGTGACACTAGTAATTGGGTTGCCGCCCAATAAGCGCCTAATTTAATGTCGCGGCACGACACAAATAAATTCACCACTTTTCTTTCCACTTTGAACTTATGAATTTTACCCCTAACTTTGCATCAATTTTTCTGCTCCTCTGTAGGGGCAGTGGTATAAAGATAAAGGAACTAAGTAATATATGTTGCATCTTGCATTTGTTGACCCTTATGTGAGGAATGTCGTTGTCTACGTGGACTAAAAAACATTATAATGTAGGGGCTTTGTTCCTCATCTATACACTCATTCATTAGTTCAGATGACTCGATTTTCATGTCGCCATCTAAGCATAATATAGAAAAGTGTTTTGAATGAGATTCAAGTTGCCTCGACTCCAAAGCAACATTATTTACAACATTCTCATTTTTGTACTCTTTCTCAAACGTGTAACCTTCAAGAAAAGTCTGATTGCATTGTATCTCCTCCCATTTTAGAACCTCTATTTGACTTCTGAGTGCCTTTTCAGTATCACAAAACTCATAATTGGATTGTTGAACGTCTAACGCAGCAACCTTTGCATTCAATTCATTGCTTAAATTTTGAGTATGCAAAAAAAAAATTAAACATCTTGAAAATGCTTCATTTTTCTATCTATAAGGTATGACATTACATATATGATTCTCCTACGACGCTCTTCATATTCCTCTATTAATTTCCTGCAAGATTCCATACTATCAAAGGAACAAAGATTATTAGAATCATCATGGTAGGGTTTTGGAGTAGGGTAGCAAAACACGGTACAACCGACCCAAAAATCACTACAAAGCTATAGGATAAAGATGGTACACACAATTCTGCCTCAGAAATATATTGACATTGTTGCCAAAATTGGGCTCCTTTGCAATAAGGACAAGGTCTTACCACACATGAATAATCATCATTCCCGTTCATCCCACGAAGAGTATTAATTAATATAAAAAACTATGTATCAATATAAATAAATAAATAAATAAATAAATAAAAAGAAAAAATATAAACTAGAAGAATAGTTAATTTATAAGTCCCCAGCAGCGGCTCCAAAAATTTGTTGCTCCCAATTGCCCACGCATGTGTACGTGGTCGCGCAAGTAATAGTGGCTCTTAAAAGAATCAGATTATCGAACCCAAATGACTTGTCGATTAACAATTTTTACTAAATTATACTAGTCTAATTATTTATTTAAGAGTGCCAAAACTGTTTGATTTTTATTTGTAAAGAAAAGAATGTAGGAATTAAAAATAAAATTACTTACAGTGATTGGAAAATCCCAGGGTTGCAACATGTATAGGGTTTCATTTATCACACCTCATACATGAAGTAATTATGGTTATCAAATTACTGATTTACAAGGTTTACTTTATGATCATGGTCTCCCGACCTCTAATCGCCTACCCCAATTAGTTGTATAACTACATCGTTGAGTGGGGATAAGCAGTCCTAATTGGCCAGCATTTATATTTCATCCTGTTTTTTAACCAAGATAGGTGTTCGTCCGTGCGTCACTACTAACACAAATCAACTCAATTTAATGGAAGATCAAGCCTTTTGTATTCTTTGGTCTATCTACCATATCATCTCCCGAGTCCAAGAATAGGCAATATATTTATCTCTATGGTGATCAAGCATGAAATACTAAAATAAGAATACAAAAGTGATTTAAGTGATAACCAATATTAATTCAAAAAAATCTATGTTCAACAATTAACCATAGTTGCAGCCCCATAACAAGGGTCTTTAGCTACTAATGTCTAAGAAAAGAAGAAGTAAAGAACCCTAAAAAGTATTGACAACTTTATACTTGATGCCCTATATATTTTTTTTTTCTTCTATAATTATTTTTTTGAACTATTTATAGATCTAGAAAATCCTAAATAAAATAACTAAGTCCAAATCAAATTAGGAACCTAAAGCCAAAACAGAGTTGAATTCCTTTTTATTTTCCGCGTGAAGCTATGCGTTCAAAATTTTGTGCCTATCTGCAGATTCTTACACATGGCAGCAGAATTGCAATTTAACTTATGTATTATTTTATAACTTTTAATCCATTACGCTGCTTGCTTGATTTCCTTCTTTAACCTTCCATCTTTAATTTGTTTTAGCTCCAAACTTCTTCAGCATTACACCAATTTACTCCTACAAATAAAATACATTATTTAGCACAATCCATAAAATTCATACTTAAAAAGGATAAATACAAATAATAAATGTGAGACAAATAATGATTAAAAATATATATATTTGGCCTCACATCAACTTTCATGTACAAAGCACTCAAATTATAACAATACAATGTAGACATTGTGTTGAGGTACACTCTAACATCATGAAGTAGGTAGATGATCCATGTCATCTCTGTTGCAGTAAAGGTTAGTGATCTATACTCAACTTCAACACTTGATCTTGCTACTATTGGCTGTTTCTAGGAAATCCAAGAAAAATGATTTGCACCTAGGAAGATGCTATAGCCTGTAGTGGATCTCGGAGTGGTAATGCATCCTCACAACCAAATGAGTATCTGAATATCCATACAACATACAAGGTGATTATGAGATAAGTTTGACTGTTTGAGTTCAAATTGTAGAGTACATTTGATGTACCTGAGAATCATTCTACCTCCTTGAATGTGTTCATTATTAAGACATTGCATAAACTGACTGGCTAGATTGCCTACATGAGTGATATCAGGCCTTGGGAGTGTCAAATACTAGAGGCTACCTACTATCCTTATGTACAAAGAGGCATCTACAGACTTCCAACCCCTTTATTTTGACCAAGCAATTTTTCCTAAGGAGTAGCTATAACTTTTTACAATTTCATATCAGTCTTGTTAAGTAGGGCAGCGGCATACTTACTCTGACTCAAGTAAACTCCTCCCATAAAATATTTGACCTCCACTCCAAGAAAGAATTGTATAGGACAGAGATCCTTCATAACAAACTCTCTTCCAAGTTGTAAAACCAACTCAAAGACATGTAATTGGTTACTTCTTATTTCAATAATGTCATCTACATACAACAAGAGGAATATTGAACCTTTATGAGTTTGCAATGTGAACAATGAGGGGTCTGCCTTACTATAAGTAAAGCCAAGGTGTAGGAGATGCATGCTAAATCTATCATATCAAAATCTTGATGCATGTTTAAGGCCATACAATGCCATCTTTAACAGAAAAACATGGTGAGGATATTTAGAGTCAATAAATCCAAGAGGTTAACTCATGTATACCTCTTATTCCAAAAGACCATGTAGGAATTAATTTTTGACATCAAGTTGCCTTATTTCCAACTTAGAGCTAATAGCAACTGATAAAACCACCCTAATAGTTGTGGCCTTGACTATATGGCCAAATGTTTCTTCAAACTCTATCCCTTCAAGCTGTGAAATACCCCTAGCAACAAGTCTTTCTTTGTATCTATCTACTATTCCATTTTTCTTCAACTTGGTCTTGGACACCCATTTTGAACTAACTGGGTTCATACCAGCCGATTTAGGCACTAATGTCCATGTCTTGTTGTTATGTAAAACATTGATTTTCTTCTGCACAACTGCAAGCCAATGTGGTGACTCTAGTGCCTCATTAGTAGTTTTTGGTTCTCTCACAATCTCTTCTTTGTTTTTAGGAACTAGAGATAAGTGATGAACCTTTTCCTTGTGTTTAGTAGTCATGTGATGCCTTGTGGTATATGAGATGTATCAAGTGAGGCAGCTAGTTATAGTGTAGTTTCTCTAGATTGTTGGTTCTCAGTCATATATCATACTAATATATCAACCTTTTAGTGTATCTCTTGTGGACTAGACACAAAAGAAGTATGATTCGATGGACCACCACTATCTAAACCTGCATGATTAACTTGATCCTTACCACCATTATCTGAAACTGCATCTGATTGTTCAACATCAATATCATCATCAATAGGCATGAGTGTTGTTATATGTTCAATAACATTATCACCAGTAGCTTGTGTATTATCAACAACCTGTGTTTTAATATATGCAAGATTCTCACTAGTTGTTGACACAGTATAAGCATTTCCCCTGAATAAGTATCCTCATATGCCGGAAATTAAGAGAAAAACTCAACAAAAGTATCTAGATCAGGTGAGACATAAATATTAGTATAAGTTTGATTTGGAGGATAAAAGGTAATGTTCTTTCATAAAATCAACATGTTTGGACACATACACTTCCCTTGTTGAGGGAAGATAACATCTGTATCCCCTGTGCAATCTATTGTATCCTATGAACACACAAGAGCAGGTCTTCAAGCTAAACTTGGTACTACCCTTTATATATGTGAAACACCTAAACCTAAACACCTTTAAGATGTTTTAATCAGGTTTCTCACCATATAGCCTAACAAATGGAGTAACCATCTTTAAAACTGAGTACGACAGTCTATTAATGAAAAATAGTGCATGGCCTCAACTCATAGAAACAAAGGAAGATTAGCACGTATTAGAATAGTTAATCCAATCTCATCAATATGCATATGTTTTCTTTCTGAGACTCCTTTTTTCAGGTGTGTTAGGACATGAAATGTGCCTAACAATACTACAATCTTCTAGAATTTTAATGAAGTATGTTTTGATTAATTCACCACCTCTATCACACTGGAACATCTTAATGTCTTTAGAGAATTGTTTTACACAATTTTCTGAAATGTAACAAATACTTCAAAAATTTCAACCATCTTTTTCATTGGATAAAGCTATGTATACCTTGTGTAATCATCTACAAACACTACATGATATTTCATATGCTGAAAAAATTCAACAGGAGAAGGAACCCACAAATCAAAATGTGTTTTCAATAAAGGTTAGTTGTCAATTCTATTCTTCAAGTCAAGTGGAAGTTTACAAATTTTGTCCAACTGCAGACAATATGCATTTTATTCCAACTATTAACATTAATGCAACTACTGTTACTTAAAACTTTTAACAACTTTAAACTAGGATGTCCTAATATAGTATGCTCTATGATGTCTGATGTGTTCTAATCTTGTGTAGGAGTCAAAGCATAGAGTCCAGTTCTCTTAGATCCCTAGGTTAGTATTGTCCTTGTGTTCTTGTCCTTTACAACGACGTTAGTTTCATCAAATTCAAGAGTGCAACAATTATCCTTAGCAATTTTACAAACTGAGAGTGGATTCACAGCAATCTTAGAAACTACAAGGACATTTTCTTATTTCAAACATGATCTAGTTGTATTCCTAACATGTGTTATGTCTAATTGTGATCCATTCCCAACAACAATTTTATAAAATCCACTGTAGTGTTTAAATTAGATAGAATACTGGCTTTTGAGTCCATATACAAAGTGTCATATGTAGATGATGTATTTTGCAGATTGATAGCAGCCAATGCATGTGGTAGTTCATCTACATATTGACAAGAGTAGTCCCACCTGTAAAAGCACTTAAGAGTAGAATCATTATTTCTACCAAAAATTTTAAACGACTCGGTAGTATTCCTATCCTTATTTATACTTTAGAAGCTTTGATTATTCTAAGTATTTAATTTGATCCTTGTCCAACAGGTTTGAGACCCCTTCCTTTGGAGTTGAAGTTGTTGTTTCCACTTTTCTAAGAGTAGTTTCCTCTTCCCCTTATCCTTTGGGCAAAGAATGCCATGTTAAGGTTATGTAGTTGCAATTCTTCTTCATCCTCTTTCATATCAAAAACCTTGAGAGAATTAACAAATTGATTAAGAGTGGAATATGGTGCATTACCTAGCATGAAAATCTTGAAGGAATTGTACTTGAGACCTAAACCTAAAGTTCATTACTTTTCTATCTTCATCCTCAGGATTGTGAATGGCTTCAAGACCATCACATATTCCTTTGAATTTCTTTATGTAATCATCAATTTTCGTGGTTCCTAGCCTATACTTTGCAGTTATTGTTTAAGCTAAAACACCTTATCTTTGCTGCTTGTAGATAGGCCTTATTTAAGCATTCTCACATCTCCTTGGTAGTTGAGAAACCCACAATAAAGTACATGTCATCTTCTATCAAGGTGCCTAAGATCCAGTTCCTTAGCAGTACATATTTCTCCTACAATCATCAACACTACCACTATATTCTACATTATCCTCAACACTTATAACCACGACTTTCTCAACAGACTTTCCAGTAGAATGACCACTCGCAATTGGTTCATTCTCCTTGATGATATAGGTTAGTCACATCACATGAATCAACTGCATCATTTGTGTCCTTCATATGAGATAGTTTGTTAGCTTAAGTTTAATGGAACAAGAGGCAATTAGGTGGTGAAGGGAATAAGTGGACAAAGTATTGATAGAGGGATCCATTTCAGTTAAACTTGTGATCATTTTGAATTCAATACTTAGGCAGCGGAAGATTTTAATTCTCTTATACCATGTAGAATTCTCAACAATAACTGAGATAAATCAAAATCTGTATTGATGGTTAAACATTTGAGTAGAGGTTGATATAGAGTTGTAAATTTGTACAGTAGTAGACTAGTATTACAGTTATAATATATTAAAAATACAAATACAATAGTAGAGGTTAACTACTACTACACCTACATAGCCTAGTCAAAGTTCGATTTTAATTCTTGAACAACTAACAAGACTTCTAACAGTTGAACCATGTTGATCAACTCAATCCTTATCTTCAGCTTGATCCTTATCTTCAACAGTTATAGTTAGTGATTTTATGAAAAATATTATCACCTATGAACCTAAAATCAATTTTTTTATATTATGAGAGTCACTCAGTCCTTCGAGTTCTTTCAGAATTTTCTAAACAAAAGAAAGTTATAACCTTATAGCCTTGTAAGGTATGTATGTGTGAGTGATTCCCTGGATTTAATATGTAGATTAGGAAAAATATGATCTTTGTGATGATGCAAACCTCCCTTTTGTAAAAGTACCATAAGGTTTGAACTTTAATATTTTGTTATGTATTAATTGCATATAAATGAAAGGATGTCTTGTTGAAGTGGTTTTAGTATCATAAGTCAATTGTGTAAATGATCACGGGACATTCCTTTCACATTTCATGTGCGAAAAATTCCTTTTCTCTGACTATTTTTGAGTTTCTGAATAATGCTCTAATAAATGTTGTAAGCTTTTGGTAAGCTTATGAATTTTATTATTTGTAGTCCATTAGGGTTTAATGTGAAACTCATTATGGATTTTGCAAGATTTTATAGTGTTGATACTCTACTCTCTGCTTCTCCTAGTTCTTTCTTTTAATATTTGTCAGTAATAGTGATATTGCACAGTCAGTCCCGCATGAGTAGAGGCGCGCAGGCAAGCGAATAGAAAAGTAGTCTTTCTCCGCGGCAAGCATATTCAAGTACCGAACAGCCCGAGGAGTAGGCTTCCCGATGCTCGGAACCTAAATAAGCCACAAAAACATAAAAGTGACCAAAATAAGCCATTACTTTAGTAAGTAACTAAAATAGGCTTAGTGGAAGAAAAAATTCCACTTTATCTGATATTTTAAACGTTTTCTGTTAGTCATGAACGTGTATATTTTAATATATAACGGAACTATTTCCTACACTTTATAAAATGGAACTATTTCTTACACTTTATAAAGTGTAAGTTTTTCTTACACTTTATAAAGTGGAAGAAAATTTTTTGTTTTCAAGAGGAATATTTTTCACGTTTTTATCTCTTTATTTAAGCTTTTGCAGTACAATTATATTGATTTGACATATCATAAAAACGGAAAAATTATTACACTGTATTTTATTTTTTATTCTAAAAATCCTCCAATCTCTATTTAAGGACGTTCAAACATAGTTGATAGCACCTACAACATAAAGTCTACTATATTTCTTTATTTCAATCTCAAAAAAAAAATGTCTTCTAAACCAAAAGTTAGAGTTTCGATTTATTGGGATGGCAAAATTATACATGACGGAAATACCGCTTATTATAATTGTCCTCCCAAACACAATGCGAAATATTCAATTAATGTCCGATATTATAAATTTCTTTCATCAATTTATAAAAGAATGAGTATAAACAATACTGATTATAATTTGATTATAGTCGGAAAATACCCTACTTCATTTTTATCACAAGGACAAGTAAATTTTGGAGAGTGGATTATCTATAATGACGAATCGTTGACCGACTTTTTGAGGGTTCCAAATGACTACATAGATCAAATCAAGTTAACAATACTTGAAATCTATGTTAGGAAGGAGCCTAAGACTAGTCAACAACGTTCTCCTTTATCGGTCGACGTCCATCCCTGATTAGAAAATCGTAATAGTGTTGATGGATTTCCGATAACTCAATCTACTGATTTTTCTAACATGACTCATTATCAAAATATTCTTACCGGTCGATATGATGTTGATTTGAACGAAACTATCAATGAAAGTGACTGGTAATGCTCAATAATTATATTTCGATTATTATTTATTGATTTTGTCAATTATTTATTAATTTATATGATTTATTATT